ACTTCACAAAAGTCAGAGACATTTGGGATGATTCAGGACAGAACTGGATTACAAGTGATCAACTGCGTCAAAAGCTTCCCAGACTGCATAACAGAGTCCCTAACTTCTTTTTCTTTTTTTTCTTTTAAAAAAAAAAAAACAGGGCCTTATGGTCATGGCTCGATATCCACTCTGGGGAGCATCAGTCCGGTTCCTTTTCCACCGGCAAGTCATGGTAATACAGCAACATACATACGCACGCTTCCTTCCGTCTGGCCGAAGGACCCCTGAACAGCACTGATTGCTCCACCTGTGTGGAGGATTAACTGTCAGCTTGCCTTTTAACCCAACGTCCTCTCAACTAGGGTATACCCTAGCTGTCTGGTATCCTTTAAGCTCAAGACTTTGAGAGAGGCACAATCCTGTCCACACGCCAACGTCTCTTGTGCTGGGTTCTCTCGGTGTTCTCTCCGCTCTCTCCTGCCAATCTCCTTCCCTGTGTGCCTTGTTGTTGTCTTCTTCGGTTATTCCCCTTGTTGCCCTGCTATACCAAGATAGTAGCCGGTATCTCTTGTGTCCTGGAGATCTCTTGACCTGTTGCCCCGTCTGAGTTATGCCAGTCTTTCCACCTCAGACTGAGCTCATTTAGACCCTGCAACTTTGCCTCCTGCCAGCCAGTTGTGCTTGAACTTCGCAAGTACCACCCGTTTTGTTTCTGGATTGTTCTGCACCCAGATTTTGACCTTCTTCTATTGGCACAGAATCTCAGCCTCGATCATACCTTTAGTGGCCGCCCATACCATTTCCCGTGGATTCTTGGCTCCCTCCAGCGTTCTGCTGATAGTGTGACCTTGCATATCATTCCAAACCATATCCTTTCAGGTTTGCTCAGATTAGGGGATAGGTTTGTCCAGAGGAGGAGTTGAAGGGGGTGTTCGGGAAGAAGAGACATGAAAAGGCTATCCCAAAGGTCAGATGCCCTAGCCCAATATTATGTGGCTTCATTGCATTTAATTATGCAGTGTAGTATATCTTCTTGTTTCTGGCCTGCGCAGACCCTGCAGATGTCAGAGGAGTTTGGATTGTATCTGCTTCTTCTGGTGTGCAACCATTGATTGACCGGCAGGGCCGCATATGCTATAAGCCACTGCATGCTTCTGATTTTGATTGGTTTTATGGTTTTTATATTTTTTCCATGAAATCTGAGATATAAGTTCTGATTCAGTACCGATTAACTTTCGCCATCGGTCCTTGATTACTGGTTCCGGGTCCTTTGTCTTCAATAACATCCTGTAGCCAAGTTTGACCGTATGTTCCGAGATTGGGATAGGAGATTTGCTGGTCTTGTCTCTTTGTGGCTGCCAAGCTCACTCATGCGGGTCGAATTCCAGGTCTTGGACCGATACTCCAATTTGGAAAATCTGTTTTGGCCAGATTCCTAGTACTCTCACCTTGCAAAGTGTAAAAGCCTGGAGCGTTGTTGTTTGTGGGTCAGTGTTGATGATGATGGGTTCATCCGGTTTTGCCCATTGGATAGGGAAGGATGTGAAGATGGACATCGACCCTATTCTCGATTTCCTTCTTGCGCAGACCCGACCAACCAGCAATCGACACTTGGTTCAGATCTCCAGATGATCCGATGGTATGTTGGCGAGTTTTGGGCCCCCCAACGGCGGCAGGAACAAAAGTTCAAGTTTGGGCCCTGAGAGCCAATACTAAAAAAGAAACAAAAGAAAGGGACCTGCTTTTATGGAAAGGAGAAGAATTGGTGACAGTGGACCAAAACCTGAAAGAGGTGAGAGTGTGGTGTTCAGTAGGCCCCAACGGAAAAGAAACATGCTCAGGTGGACGCCTGGCCTCCTCTTTCAAGACGGAACCTCATCTACGTTGGTGGGCGGAGTTGAAAAAAACTGACTCCTTTACCCCGCTGGGCCACTATTCCACCATGGTGGGCAGAGCCATCCAATTGAAGCAGGTATCTAAAACCCCGCTAACCACAGCCACTCAGAGATGGAGTACCTCCCCGACAGACATTATCTCCGAAGGTAAGCTCCTGAAGTTGTGGAAGCAACTTCAGAAACTACCGGACCAAAAACGCCAGCCTGCTGTGGCTACAGCCGATGCAATCTATTCCTTCTGCAGCCTGGCTCTCATCGAAAGGCATGAAGATTTCCCCAGTCTGCTCACGATGTAACTGGGCTTGCGAGACCACCACACATCTGTGGATTGACTGTCCTTTCTCCATCCAGGTATGGCAGTGGTGTAGGAAATACTGGGAGCAGCTAGCTGGTTCGTAGTTCTTGTGGACAGACTCCTGGATCCTCTCAGGGTGTAGTAATCGGCCAATGTCCTATGACTCAGGCTGGGGCTATGAGGCCCAAGTTTGCAGAGGGCTGATTATGAATACAATCTGGATGGCAAGAAACAAGAGACTGTTCAGAGAGGAAATTTGTCATGTCGAGGAATTGAAAAGTCATACTAGAGCACTACCGACTGTGCCGACGGGTTAGCGCACGGCGGGAGCGCTGCACTAGCGCTACTCTGGAGACTGGGTCAATGACGGTGTCGTCAACGGTGGGAAGGGGAAGGAGACACCGGCAGTGATGAGTGACGGGCAATGGCACGAAGGGGAAAAAGACATCGGACGTGACGAGCGACGGGCGCGACATAGGGGATTGCACAAGGGGGGAAGGGCGGGGCGGCTACGAAGACGGTGTCGTCAACGGCGAAGGGCTCGACGTAGGGGAGTGCACAAGGGGGGAAGGGCGGGACTGCTGCGGAGACTGCGTCGATGAAGGTGACGTCAACGGCGAGAAGGGAAGGCGACATTGATCGCGAAGAGCGACGGACGGGTCGTAGGGGATCGTACGTAGCGGGAAGGGGAAAGTGACATTGGATGAGACGAGCGACGGGCGCGACGAAGGGGATTGCATAAGGGGGGAAGGGCGGGATTACTGCGTCAACGAAGGTGACGTCAACGGCAAGAAGGGAAGGCGACATTGATAGCGACGAGCGACGGATGGGAAGTAGGGGATCGTATGAACAGCGGGAGGGGGAAAGAGACATTGGACGAGACGAGCGACGGGCGTGACGAAGGGGATTGCATAAGGGGGGAAGGGCGGGACTACGGAGATTGCGGCGACGAAGGTGGCGTCAACGGTGCGAAGGGAAAGCGACATTGTTCGCGACGAGCGACGGACGGGACGTGGGAGATTGCACGAGTGGAGAGGGGAGGGGCTACGGGAGGGGACTAATGCGTATAGCATGGTGACATACATCACAGGGTGACGTGTCATTGCGAGGATGAAGGGATAACGGTGGACCATCCTCTCGGGTGAGATACTTCAATCATGTTGGTTTCATTAAGGAGGTAAGCCACCAATTCTTTATAGCATAGGAGGGGGAGCTCTAACATTGGAAGCAGCATTGTAATGAAAAGAGCATCGGTTCTTCATTGTCATAGTGGAGAAGACTTCTATCGTCATATGTGGAAGGGAGTCTGAAATTGAATATAGGGAAGAAAGCCAGAATAGGGGGTGATGTGTCACAAACAGAGGAGACAACGGGGCAAAGGAAAGAGAAGAGACGGCCCAAAAGGGCAATACAAGTGAGGGGGAGAGAGAAGAGGGAGGGACGTCGCATAAGATAGGCTGGAAACGGCCTATGACAAGGAAAGGAAAGTGAAGGGCAGAGGGATGAAGAGGGAAGGGGACGGGGCATAGGAAGACGAAGTGAAGTGACACAGGATTGGGAAGTACTGGGACAAACGAAGAAAAAGGAAGTGGAAGGGAGAAGGTCGAAGAGGGGAAGGGATATACGAGGTAGAAGCCATATGGGATTGTGAAGAAGTGGGACATAAGAAGGAAAGGGAAGTAGAAGGGAGAGGGAAGGGAGTAAGCATTATAAACTAGAATTCGTTTCAAACAGGAATAATCACTTAGGGGAAAAAAAAAAGAAAAAAAAGAGGGGGGTGAAAGAGGCAAAACAAGGGGTGGACGTTGGTTAGGAGGGAAGAGGGACTGGGCGGGGTGGGGGGGGGACACACAAGGTAAGACTGGGAGAGTAAGGGGCTGATAGTAGTGGAGAGTGTAGGGCTAGACGCAAATTAGGGGGCTAGAGCAGGGATCTTGGAAAATGTCGTTCTCTTATGTAATGGCAGCCCAAAGGGCTATGACTGAAAGGGACAGAAGGGAGAGTGAACAACTGAAGGCACAATCACATACCACGTCAATCGCAGGCATCAGGCTCAGCCATACTAGAGCGTTGGGACAAAAAGCTCTTGATTTCTTGATAGAAAAAACACAAATTACGGCGCCTATCAAAGTCACAAAGGAAGTGGTCAAGGGTCAGGATGGAAAGGAGGAGGAAGTGGACGTGTGGGAGTACCAGGAACATGATCTTCAGTCACTTCATGATCTATATGCACGTCATGCTGTGTTATTTAATTTCTCAGGCAAAAACAGCGAACTCTCGCTCAATGAAAAAAGAAAGTGGGTGATGGAGAGACTCAGGGGACTAGAGCACATCCCAGGCATGGAACCAGAGGTGTCATACCACAAAAGAGGAAGATTTACGGTAATGATAGTTTGTATGGATCCTGCGTACGCACAATTTTTATTGTCCTTGGGTTCTCTCAAATGTCATGGCTCAGTGGTAACCATTCAAGCATAAAAGCCTCCACAACCACCATCGGCTGAAGCATCGAGACACAGCCAGGCTATGCTCAGCGATCATTTTTGGGTACAATTTGACAATCTCTCAGAAGGAATGCATAGCTTTGTCCAACAACGTCTTACGGAGGAATTTCCAAATAACCCAATTATAGAATGGCTCCCCGCTAATCCGGATTTTCTTGCTCCGAATCATGATTCGAGGGTGGCATGTTTGAAAGTTAAGTCGGGAGCTCCACCAAAGTTACCAGAGGTCTGGATTTTTCGTTGGAGGACAGAAAGAATAACGGTGTTTATTTCCACAAAAACTAATCCCTTTTGCTTTAGGTGCAGGGGTAGGGGACATTTGGGGATGCACTGCCCGCAGTCGGGAGCGGGGTCAGGAGGGAGTCAGCCACAATTAAAGCAATCAATGCTTGTCGAATCAGACAACGAACCAGGGGTCTGGTTTATTAATTCATCACAATACAGAGGTTGGATCTTTGATGACAACTTGGATATTCCACGATGGGTGTGGGTTTTGCGCAGAGCACCAACGGTTAAACCGGACATCTACCCTCCATATGATAGTAGATGGAGGCAAATGGGTGCAAAGCGGATGGTGGATAGGGATGTGGGCTTTCTTACCAAGCCCATGATAGATGATGCCTCGGTGTTAGATGACAGGCAGAGATTACAGACCATGGTAGAGCTAAACAAAGTGGGCCAAGCAGCGAAGCAGGCTTTCCTGGAAAACAGGAGAGCAAGAGAGGAAGCACGGAGGTCAAAAGAGAAGGGAAGTAAAGATGAAGAGGGGGGCGATAGTGTGCAGGGAAGTAAGACCGTGTCAAGGAGTAAGGGAATGACGGAGCAAGAATCTGTGGAAGATGGAGGAGACAGGGTCACTGGAAGTGATGAGAAGGGAGGAGAATCATCAACCTCTCTTAAGAGGAAAATCACTGATAGGGAATCAGGGAAAGGTGATAGCTCATACCATGGGTCAAAGAGGACACATTCAGGGAAAGGAATGGATGGAGTTTCTTCAGAGGGGTAACAGGGGCACAACGCTGATATGAAAGAAGAAGGCCAGGGAGAACAGGGTTCTCAGGGGGAAAAAATGGACATTACAACCTCTTCAGAGGGCACGTCAACGACAACCTCAACAGACCATCGAACAAAACAGGGGTCTGCATCGGGTCAAACCAACTCTACAAATGAATCACATGCCGCTGTTACAGAAAACACAGCACAGGATTCGGGTGGCGAGAGTGTCGAAGGGCAAGGGAAAATGGCACAGGATTCGGATACGGATTTGGAGGGGGACAGTGACAAGGGGGAGGACGACTGGGAGGAAGAAGACGAGGAAGAAGAGGACGAACCGAAGACACTGTCACAGTGGATTAAACATGTTCACAAGTTAGAGTGGGAGAGGCACATTGAGTGTGAGATTCGCTTGGCACATCACAAGCATTTGCGCAATCTCAAACAAGCCACAGCAGCGGGAGACGACATTACAACAACAAACAGATTCGAAAGACTGAAGAATGAGCAGGAGGTTAATGAGTTCTATACCACTCAATATGGATGGAAGGCCAGGTTGGACAGGAATGACATAACGGTGCATAACGCGGGCTACTCTAAGCAGTTCATTTGGCCCAAGTCTTATCAGCCACAGGGTCTGAAGAGAGCTGAGCAGAAGAGAAGGGCGCAACAGCAAGAACAAGAGCAGTTGGGAAGAAGGGACCATGATTTGTCACATGCCACTCAAGGGTTGGATTTGGATGAACAGATGGAGGAGGAAAAGGGACAGGCAGCGATCTTGGAGGCACAACTGGAGGTTCTCAGGGATCAAAACAGGGAGTTAGGGGAAGACACTACAAATCTGCAGAAAATAGCCTATGCTCCACACGCAGACGTCAACGCAACAGCCAAGTTGTATGCAAGACAAAACCCAGGCAAGAGAATCATTTTGCCTTACAGATGGAACAGCGGCAATGCTGATTGGGAGGTAGCCATCCACAGGTCTCCGACACTGATCACAGTGAAGGACAGTCACTGCGAGCATGTCATATTGAAGGAACTTATCACAAAAGATCTGCCCGAGCAGGCACACGTCATTGGGGATCTCAACCAGGATAGGGAAGAATGGGAAGACACGGAGGGTACAAGGCACATGTTGGATTAAAGACCAGTCATGATCAAGTTACAGGAAAGGGCGGTGCTGGCAGAGGGTTTCACCTGGATGCCATGGCAGGTGGTGGAAACGATCCCATATGGTCTGCTGGGAGGGTTGGAGGCGTCAGAGTGGGTGGCAAGAGGAGAGGCCATAGTGACCAAAAGCGACGTGTTTGCATGGCAGCCGAAATACATGGACGAAAAGATGGACATTATGGCTACAACAATAGAGTGGACAAGGGCAGGATCTTGAGTAGTGAGTTCGAAAAGAGTCAAAAAGACAACATAGATCATGGAGGTGGGACTGAGGGAGGGAGTGTACAAACGTAGAAGGACAGTGGAACCTTCTAAGAATAGGGAACCAGACTTTAAGGTTATGTCTTGGAACATTAATGGGATGGTACAAATCTTAGAAAATAAGGATAAGTGGGATAATGTAATAAGGTACTCAAATTGGTTTGGGAAGACACCCCCAGATTTGCAGGAAACTCATCTTACGGATTCCTTAGAGCATCGGAATATTCACCAGCGTATAGTAAAACACTCAAGGTGGGTTAAGGCAAGTTTTTGGGCGGTGGCTGGCAGGTCACATTCAACAGGCGTAGTAATTTTATTGAATGAAAGATCGGTGGCAGCAGATAGAATAATAGTTCAGGATGTCATACTAGATGAAAACGAGGGTAGATGAATAAAGCTCAACTTTAACTTTCAAGAGGAGCAATTTACGCTCATTACAGTCTATTGTCCTAATGGAGGGCACCAGCGGTCGGAAATGATAGATTCGCTTCAAAACCGCATTGACCCATCAAGACATATTATACTGGCTGGGGATTGGAATGCAACTTTGGATCCTAGTATGACCGATTCTTAGGTGGAAGGTCAGGGTTAGGGAAAGGACTGATGTGGGACGAAACCCTTCCTATTCATAATCTTATGGCGGCTAGGGACCTGGTGGATCCATTTAGACTTCAACAGCCACAAGGAAAACAGTTCACATACTATAAAAGGAATCGTAGTCAACATATTTCAGCATCAAGGATTGACTACTTCCTTATATCACAAGACGCTGTGGGAACAGTACACTCGGTAGGAGTAGGGGACTTACCATACTGTACGTGTCTAGATCATAAACCCATATTTCTTAACTTTATTATGGGTAAACATGTTCACAGAGGTAGGAGTTTCTATAAGGTTAATAACTCGTTATTAAGAACTAAGGAATTGAGGGAAGTTGTTCTGAATGTGTGCCTAACACACAACCCGGTCACACAATCATTTGCGGACCTTACAGAAGCCCTGTCAGCAACAACGACAACAGTAGCTAGACAGCTGGCAGCAAGGCGGGCGGCAAGGGAATTGGAACTACAAAGGGCATTGCGTATAGCGGAAAGGAATCTAATTAATAACCCGCATTCGGAGATGTATGAGAAAATAATATAAGCAGCAAGAAACGAATTGGGAGATTGGGAGAGATGGAAGGCTAGAGGACTGCAAATGAGAGCGAGAGTGAAAGAATGGGAGGAAGGGGAAAGAATGACGAAGTATTTATTCCAGAAGATTAAAGCAAGAGGAAGAAACAAGCTAATAGAATAGTTGGAAGGTCCGCAAGGAATGGTCTCGGATCCGGAAGGGATGTTATCTGTGGCCTACGACTTTTATAGTACTTTATACGCCTCTAGGAAGGTGACCATATATCCTCAACAGCTGAAGGAGGTCAGAAATAAGTTTCTTTCATACCTAGAATGTACGGTGAAAAGGGACCATGCAGAAAAATTAGATGCCTCTCTATCTCTGGATGAATTGAGGGAAGCACTACAGTCTATGCCTCCTAACAAGACGCCAGGTAGGGACGGATTAACCAAAGAATTCTGGTTGGAGTATTGGCCTATCCTGGGAGGAGAGTACGTATCCTTTCTCAATCAAGCCTGGCAGAAAGAAGGTTTGGGGTTAGAGTCGGCAACAGGCATAGTTACTCTGCAATATAAGAAGGGAGACCTGAGGGATACAAAAAATTACAGACCCATTACATTGTTGACTCTTACTCACAAGATTGTGGCTAAAGCACTAGCTAACCGCCTGAGGAAGGTTACAGAAAGTTGTTTTCATCTGGATCAAACGGGATTTATACCGCAAAGATTTATATTGGATAATGTTATGACTTTATCAGAATCAGTAAGGTACATTACTAATAGGAGGATAAACGCAACAATTCTCTTTTTCGACTTCGAAAAAGCATATGATCAAGTCAACTGGAATTTCTTACAACAATGTATGGAGACAATGGGGGTGGGTCCTAACTTTCGTAAATGGATACGTGTACTTTATAATGACGCACACGGGCAGGTCTAGGTTAATGGCCACATATCACATCGATATAAAATGACAAGGTCAATAAGGCACGGGGACCCTTTAGCGGCTCCTATTTTCTTGTTTATAATGGAAGCTATTGCCTCATTCCTCAGGAAAGACCCTTCGATCGACCGTCTGATTGCGGAGCCAGATCACCAGGGACGAGTCATACATTTACCGACAACGATATTATTTGCGGATGATTTGACAGTACTAATCAGAGCAACGGATTCTTCTTTCCAAGCCCTTACGAGAGCAATGGCGGCATTCCAGTTAGCATCCGAAATGAGAATTAACTGGCAGAAGACGCTGGGGTGGTGGCTATCATATGATGACCAACAGTCACAGTATCAGCCATAAAATTATGGAGGGATGACGTGATTACCACAGGATCAGACATTGAGATATTTGGGTATCAGAATGTCGAGTGAGGGTCCCCATCATTCTATGGCGCCAGAACATATGACAAAAATGTTATTGAAGTTGGCGACATGGTCATAAATACATACCTCACTGTTCGGGAGGGCATTGGTCATAAATGCTTCCATCTTCTCTATGCTATGGTACGTGGGAACGATATGGTCACCACCAGCTGATACACTACAAAAGTTGAGGAAGGTGGCGGCAGCATATCTATGGACAACAAACCCTTCGAGACTCAACTTTTTATCAAGGTTGGCATGGAACCAAGTTATCCAACGAAAGGATAAGGGAGGGTTAGGAGTCCTGGATTCAGGGCAGCAGATAAGGGCACTTCAAACCAAGTGGATCATAAAGCTGTTAACATAGCCTCACCTTCCATGGGTCCCATTGGTACTCGATCACATACGTCAGATGGCAAGATATAAAACACCATCCAATATGAAGGGTACATTTTGGTTATTCTACAAAGGTTGGACTAAGAATGATAGAACTGGGGATCAAGTAGTAGACCAAAGAGCAACTAGGGGTACATATTGGGCTCAATTCTTCAAAATATGGCCAGAGGTCTTCCCGGCGAGAGTAGGAAAACCGAGGACGAAGGATGAGGTGCTCAGACAACCGCTATTTTGTAATCCGAGGTTAAAAGACTCTCAAGGCCAAGAACACTAACAGCAAAAGACGCCAAATGGGGGAAGTGGTTAGAACATGGTGTATGGCAGGTAAAACATCTCTGATCGGACCACAAGGGGGGATGGAAAAGAGGTAGGGAGCTGAGAGAGGAAATGAAAGGATGTCACAAACTAACAGAAAACCTGAATGACGTTCTCATCTCCATCCCGGATGAGTGGACAACGATATTGAAGGAACCGAACAAATGGGGAGGCGGAGATTGGGCAACATTAACCTCTACCAATGAACCAGAGGCTGCCTTTTGTATACGAAAGGAGGTCGGACCTTTTAACCAGTGGGTGGAAGCAGATATGAACACAATACTTTCTCCAGGACTCACGGTCAGTAAGTTGGATAGGGATTCACGGGTTCCGATAGTCATCAAGAAAAGCATCTTGAGAAAGATCAGAGTGGTGGAGAATGAAGATTTTACGATATTTGAACCACTGACATCAATTAGGGATCTGGAAATCGATCCAGCAGAGTGGGCGTGGAACATCAGGGGAAGTTCGTCAACAGTAAGTAGGAAAATCAATATACTTCAGTACACTACTAAAGTGGGCTACCGTCTGAGGGGGAGATCACGCCAGTGGGACCAGATTTTGGCAAGAAGATGGGAGAATAGAATGGATATACCTAGGGACCAGGTAGAAAAGTTACCATGGTCAACTTTGCACAACATCAGACTACCTAGGGTCAGGAGTGTGCAGTGGCTTATCTTTCATGTAGCACTCCCAGTCAATGTTTGGTTATTCAATAAGAGAAACAGGATCAATAGGAATGAGGCGGATCAGGACTGTGTTATGTGTACGGGAGGGGTGTCGGAAACTCTGATCCCTTGTTTGCTCTATTGCCCGGAAGCAGAACATCTCTGGTCCATATCCAGGGCATTATGGGCACATACTACGAACGTCCCCTTTCCAAGTAACAAAAAACTAATATTGATTGGAAGTGAGTTGCCTAAAGGATGGAGATCAAGCGACAAATATATCTTTCAACTCCTGAGACAGGACACTCTATGGACAATCTGGAAACGAAGATGTCAACAGGTGGTGGGTAAGACTCTGGTGACAAGAAGGGAAGCCAAGGCAATTCTTTATAACTTGTTGGAGACAGAGATTAGGGCATTGTGGAGAAGAATAAAGAAGCAATTGGCGCTTAACCCAGAAAAGGCAAAGGATACCTTATCTAAATTTCACAAGAGGGTATTAGCCCAAGGCAAAGTCGCGACTGTTAAAGGGGAAAGACTTATCTTTCATTGTTTCAAAGAGGAGCACCAGGACGACACTATAGATGTTCAGCGGTCGATACAAGAACTTAGGCTACCATAAGAATTAAAGTGAGCCCAGCCAAGAAGGAGATGGAACGGAAACGGAAAAGGGGCAAATAGGGTTCAGAATTTGTTCTGAAAAAGGGAACTGTGGTCCATTTGAGCCAACAGTGGCAAGGAGGTCAGGGACCCCTGGAAACTGGTTCGAGGGGACGTGTTGGCGGTTTAGTGGGCTCAAAAAACTCTTTTATATGACGAGGGTTTGGGGTTCAGGGTTTAGAACTGGATGCCACTTCGGTAACGGGGGATGAGGAGGATAAGGGGGTAATGAGACATAGAGGTGAAGTCGAAGTAGGAGACCTAAGGGTTGGCCTGGGTAATGGGTAACCTCTTTCTTGCTGCTACGGTTATATCTGGCAGATCTAGTGAATAGATCTGAGAGGTAAGAGGGAAGCATGGCAAGCTGACAGTCAATCCTCCAGCAGTCTGGAGTAATCAATGCTGTTCAGGGGTCCTTCGGCCAGACGGGAGGAAGCGTGTGTGTTTATTGGTTGTATTGTTTATTTTGACTTGCCGGTGGAATAGGAACCAGACTGATGTTGTCTATAGGTCACATTCTAGAGTGTGACATTAAGATCTAGGGTTTAGGGTTTAAGAATGGACATTTCACAAAGTTCATAAGTATCGGGCAGACTCACACAACCGAGTAGACTCACAGCTGAGAGGAACAGATAATTTGGCAGGCAGAGTTAGTACACAAAGAGCATAAGTGGTCCAGGATGCTCTTACATAACATAACTATCCGACAGCTTCGCAGCTGAGAGGAGCAGGTCTGGGCTTAGA